GGAAGTGGTGCTGTGGTTCAAGTGGTAGAGTGCTAGCCTTGAGCTGAAGAGCTCAGGGACAGCGCCCAGGCCCAGAGTTAAAGCCCCGTGACCAACAAAAATAAAATAAAATAAAGTTAAAAGATTCTAAAAATTGTGTGCCGACTTAGTTCCAGGCGCAAAGGTTGCAGTTCAAACCCACATGTAGTTTAGTTGTTTGAGAAAGCTACATACTTTCCAGGTGTGATGGCCTAGCCTTGTAATACCAGCACTTGAAAGGCCTAAGGATCACAGTTCAAGGCCAGTGTGGGCTACATAGTACATTCAAACTTCAGACTGAGCTACATTGGGAAACTTTGTCTCAGACAACCAGCAGCTAGCTAGGAGTATAGCTTAGTGGTTGAATACATGACTCGCTTGCTAAGTTCAACACTACCTGGTTTCCTACCACCACACTTAGGCCAAAGAAAGATACATATTCATGAGCTAACCACAGACATGTAAATAATTTCATATGCTAAAAAAATAGAAAGTAGAAATATATTCCTATGGCTGGAGGCATAACTCCACTGGTAGAATACTTGCCTCATAAGCACAAGGCCATGAGTTCAAATCCCAATACCACCAAAAGAAAAAAAAAGGGAAGAAGAAAGAATCCTGTGCCTTGGGGATCTAAAGTAAAGCAGGTGGCTTGACCTCACTGGGGTTTGGGGAGGGGTTTTTACATTGAGACCTTCAAACTAGTATACTTAGAGAGATCATTGCAGGCTGAGAGAACCCCATGTGTAAATACTCAATGTAAGAAAGTACATGGGGACAAAAGAAGGTTAGACAGGCAGTATAATTTAATGACCCTTACTTAAGTCCTTAAATAGCTTTATAGCTAGTTGATAGCTGTTGCTTTATACCTGAGTGGGCAAAGAACTAACTACCTTTCCAGAGTTTCACCTCGCTCATTTAATACTGTGTGCCTCCCAACATTGCTCTGAGGATTACATAAGATAAACGCTGCGCAGAATGCCTTGCACAAAGTAAGCATTCAACAAGAGCTAGTTCTGGTTGTTGGTGAAGCAGGTTAAATGGCAAGAAATCATGGTTCAGATAAACACCTGGAAGTTAGTTATACTTCATCCTCAAAAGCAGCGTTCACCTAAACAGCACTCTTTAACCATGACATCAGACAGTTCAGTTGGGAGATCTTGCTTAGATGACAATTCTGGTGTTAGGCCCAAGATTCTGCTTTTCTAACAAGTTTCTAGACCGTGCAGGTCTAGGAATCACACTTTGACCAATGTAATGTAGAGAGCCATAATTCTATGATATATGAAATGATAGGTACAGGAACAAAATGGGCTCCTTGACCAAACAAGTTTGGGAGATGCTATGTCTGCAAATGAGAATTTCTCAGGTCCTTGAATATGCTAATATGAATCCTGAAGTTCCAAGTGGACACACAGTGTCTGCTGTTTTTTTTGTCTTCGTCACAGTGCAAGGTGTAAACCACCTGATTATGAGAATCCAGACAGATATTTGTTGTTCTTTTTTTTTGGGGGGAGGGGTCTGGTCGTGGGCCTGAACTCTGGGCCTGGACCCTGTCACTTAGCTCTTCAGCTCAAGGCTAGCACTATACCACTTGAGCCACAGTGCCACTTCTGGCTTTTTTTTCCTGCTTATTTGGTGCTGAGGAATCGAACCCAGGGCCTCAGGCATGCAAGGCAAGTACTCTACCACTGAGACACCTTCCCAGCCCAGATATTTGCTGTTCTTATATAACAAGAACTCAGAAGGAAGATAGTTACATCATACTTAGTACTTCATTCAAAAGGGCAAGTTGTCAGCTAGGAGTGGAGGTTCTAATTGTAATCTTAAGCTACTCAGGAAGTGCAAATAGGGGGATTATGGTCCTAAACCAGTGTGAGCAAAGTTAGCTCCAGACAGTAAGTAAAAATCCAACTAAAACAAAAAATGAAAAGGACTGGGGCATGGCTTAAGAGATACAGGGAAGCCTGGAGACCTTGAGTTCAATCCTTAGTACCACAAAATGAATAAATGAGTGAGTGACTAAACAAACAACAAGTTATCCATGCACTTCCTGCTTCAAATCCACTCTCAAAGCAATCAAGGAAAGGTGAAGGGTGAGCAGACTTCATTTTATACCTTGTTGGTCAGAAACATCCTATGTTCACTCCATCTGTAAATGAGAAGAATCAGGAAAGAGAGGAGTTAATTTTAGTTTCTTTCAGAATGTACAGGTAAGGGAAAAGAGTTTCCCATGGTCTTGAACTTTTTTTTAAACTGCTGTTTATGGAGCATTGTTCCATAGAGTACATTTTAGGATTAAAATAATGGAACACCACTGACAATGTAAAATACAGGTATTACTTGCTCAAGTTGTAGCCTGATGAATTCACACAATTGGTAGATCAAAAGAAGAAAAGCTTTAGAAAAAAGATTCCACACAGAACAGTGAAAGGTGGTTAAACAAGAATGTTATATAAATCTCAGTGTAATTGCTTTTCAATACAGAAAAAGGAATGAAAATACCATAAAAAAAAGATGGAAGGGAAGGAGGTTTAATGAAAGACTGGGTTTAGTGAGAATGTTATTTATATTAAGTCTATTTCAGTGGAGAAGGAGAAAGCTAGTGGACAGGAAATA